TCGAGTGAAGGAAAAACAGGTACAAGATGGGGACCGAGTACAGATATGTAAGAGATTCGCGAGTCCCTGCAGGGGCAACCGTAGATGTGAAAAGAGAAAAGAGACGGGCGTGTCTATCAGGGGAAAGTGGCAGCGACCCTTCGATGCCACGGCTAAGAACCGACAAGATGGCAGTTAGGTAAGTAAATCCGGATAGATTGCAGACGTGTGAGAAGTCGTATGTTGCGTCGGGCAGCCGATCTATGCCTGGGCCCGCTAGATCGTGAAGCCGGAGGTGGCCTGAAGATGGAAGGTGTCAGTGACGGGGGCGGAAGAGGGGAGAGTCGTCCTCGAGTAAGAGAGACTGGCATAACCAGCAGCAGGAGTCGACGATGGCAGGGGTGCGGTAAGTAGCTTGTAGGCAGGTATTGGGATGGAGATGAGAGTCGGGGGTGTAGCTGGGAAGCAGAAGGCAGAAGGTGGAGGGGAATGAGAGGAGAGGAGGTCGTGAAGATCGTGAAAGTCGGTGGTGAGGAAGGCTGGTGGTGAAGGTCGTGGCGAGGTGGATGACGGAAGGACGTACCAAGTATGTAGACGAGAGGAAAGGGAGAGAGTTGGTGGGGTGTGTGGAAAAGAGCTTAGGTTTGTTTGGTTTTGTTTTATTAACAACAGGAAGGACCGAGGTGAGTCGAATTGATGCGGGTAGCACTTACTTTTTGCTGTAAATGGCACTGCCTATTTGGCAGGCGTAGATACTTAATGTGGGCATTGAGGACTCCCACGAGGACGAGGTAGCAAATAGGTAAAGTACCTACTTAGAGGTAAGTAAGCCCGGTAGGTAGTATAGAAGGTACTAAGGGAGATAATTCTCTAGATGCTGGAGAGGGAACTGGCCTTGGAAAGTGCAACGCCTACACGTTTATACATACATAAGAGGTACTTACCCACCAACATGTACATAGCAAAGAGGGCAGCTCGTCTGCTCTCTACCACCTTTGCAACTTCGCTAATTCATCGACAGTACCAATACATCCAAGTACTACCATTTTACCTTCGACTACAGTAAGGTACCAGGTAGGTACTCAATCCAGACTTATGTAGACATGCGCATTAGGTAGCACGCTTCAGTGTTCTTAACCAGGTCAACCACCTTCCTCTGCGTGGCTGTAGTTGCACATTGGAAGTTGAGCTTCCGAAGTGCTTGCCCACTCACCGTCGGCAATCCCCTTGTCAATCTCCCTTTGGGAGAGATGTAGAGTAGATGACTGGTTACGACGTTGCCATCGTCATTGTACACACGTTGAAGTTGTACAACGACAGAACCTTCAAGTTGTGCCTTAGTCAGGACAACCTAGTAGCACCGTGTAGCTCTCAATCCGTATCAATAGCACATGAGAGATAGCACGTGGTCATAAGTAACCGCACAAGACACGGTCGGAGAGGGGGAGGAAGGAAGAGGAGTCTATGGCAGAGACTCACTTACTGCGAGCAGAGTGACAAACTTGTAGAGTATACAACTGCCTACCAGCCATCACAATTGTAGAGTCATACCGACGCCTGTCAAGAAAAGACAAGTAGCCACCCTCATGTAAAGTAGCGTCTCACTATTCTCGGATGAGCAAGTAGGTAAGTCTTGACATCGTGTCTTGCAGTCAGCGATCTGCGTCACCCAGCCTCGCCGTAGATAGGCCTAGCTATTTAATTCGCATCTGTTGCCAACCCTCTAGTGTATCCTTCACCTTTTCCATTTCGAGCCACTATTTTCATAGCGCTTATTTCGTCTTGAACTGCGCTGCATGGCGAGTTCGTATCATCGATGAGGTGCACAGTCGAGTAAATAGGGTTGGAGATCCGAGATGCGTGATCCAGAGCTCTTATATTCCTCCTCTCGCATTCGGTTCCCTTCCAGGCGCATTTCAGGGGGCACCAAGATTGTTATACATATCGATGGTACAAATTTTAAGGTTGTGACTAGTTCACAACGGCTTATTTGCCTTTCTTGTCTTTCTTGTCTGCACTGGGGCGTCAGCATCCAGGGATCCGTGGGGTCTGGGAGGGCGCGTACCTGTTGCCGCTGGCGGCGTGCGCTTCTTCTTCGGTGCACCCTTTCCGCGTTGTCTCCGGCTATAGAATGGTTAGTGCCCCAGGTTCAGGGCCCCGGATAAGGGGCGAGACAGAGGACGCAGGCGACTTGCCCTTCCAGGTGTTCCTCTCGCCAGTCTGCTTCCTCATTGATCGTCTCAAGTTCCAGACTCTTGAACTCTTTTTCTAACGTGAGGATGGTGGGACCCCTCGGGGGATAGTATTTTTCTAGAGAGGGACCTTTTAATCGCTGTCGGAGAATCTTATTTCCCATTCGGATTCGTTCAGGATTATACGTGGTCGAGAAGATCTGGCACTGGACCTGGACTGGGGGGTCAGTTCTGCGTGTTCCGTGCGGTGGGCGTAGGTATTTTCTCCCTACCTTCATAAGGTCTAGCAACCGTGCGCGGGGAATGGCCGCCATCTCAATTGAATAGGCGGCTCAACAACGGCGCCCTCAATGATGTTAGTAGACGATTCGGCGCAAAGGTGAGCGGTAGGACACGATAAGAAAGTGAGTGGAAGCTGAAGTTCGAACCTTGGACTCCACATGTGGCCTGTGCCCCATTGAATATCGCTAATCCCAATACGTACTAGCGTAAATTGGGCTTGAAAACCACCTGCAATCAATTGAATTTGTCTGAGATTCAAATGCAAGGAAAGGACATCGAAGCTCTCTTGTTGCGACCCGATCGTGTGTGAAACAATTCCATTTCACGACAAGTCCGAATCCAGCCATGTCCAAACGCTCATTTGAAGAGTTCTCGACAATCGCATCAAGCTCTCGCTATGCTTCAGCGTTAGACCATGCGGACGCCTTACTTAAAGCTGCACAATCTTTGAAGCACGACCTCGAGCGACTGGGAAAACATGAGGATTCGCCTTCACATGAGAACATCCTCGCAACCCTAAAACGGCACAATGCCCTTATCCTTCCAGCAGCGCAGGCTTTGTCCCAAGATGAGGTATGAGAATCTCACAGTCATCTCGTCTCAAAGCGTAGGCTGTCTCTCTAACATCGATAAGCAGACTACCAATGTGAGCGAAGCACCAGAGAGCTTACACAAGATCCAACGAGTACACCAAGAGAAGAAATTCTCAGGAAGTCGCCCGCAGACAGGATTATGGATCCCTAATCCGGCGTCGCTCACTAAATGGACGCCTCAAGACGTCCCTAGTAGAGATGTGCTACCACCGTTGCCCCCTGCGTTGGATCCCGTCCTCGAAGTAGCCTCCCGCACGCATGCCGGCATGGCGAGTGGGCTTGGAGAGATGGGCTATGAAAGGCTCGAGTGGATAGGCGACGCGTACTTGTACCTCATCTCATCTGCATTCATCTACCAGACCTTCCCCAAGCTGGCCCCCGGCCGGTGCTCGCAGCTTCGTGAGCGACTTGTGAAAAACGAGACCCTGTCCGAATTCACCGTTCGATACAATATCGACAAACGAGCTAGACTTCCCACCGAGTTCCAACCCGGAGGTAGACCCTCTCACACCGGGGCTGGCACCTCGGCGTCCAAAAAGGAGAGAAAAAAGATTCTCGGTGATCTCTTAGAGGCCTACACAGCCGCGGCGATTCTGGGAGATCCGGACGGCCTCTCGCGAGTTATACCGTGGCTCAAATTAATCTGGGCCACTACTCTCAAGCGTGAGATCCAAGATGAATACAAGAAGCCCGTTACTCAGGGATACCATAATCCCAACAATGGCGAGGTGGGCTCTGATAGCTATACGGAATTGCCACCGAAAGTAGTCTTGAATCAGGCTATCGGAGCAAAAGGTGTTAAAATCTCCTATCGCGATGAGGGTAAGCCGAAGACTGATAAAAACAGCGGCCTTCCGTGGTTTACTGTTGGAGCGTACTATGACGGCCTGGGCGAGTCCAATCTCTGTCTTGGCTACGGAAGCGGTCTATCAAAGAAAGACGCCGGCGAAAAGGCGGCGATGAAAGCCCTGGAGAGCAAGAAGGTGATCAAACGGCTACAGAAGCTGAGGGAGGACGTGAGCGCTGCACTTTCTAATTCGTAGGGTGAACTATGATGAGCAGAGCACAGCGATATTGCCTCCGACGTCGCCGCGTTCGACCTCTCGGCTCCGACGAACGATACCCATCCTTGATGGCGGTAATTATGAGGTTGGTGTGTATTCTATAGGCGTATTGCCTCTCATGCGGCTATAGCTTTTTGCTCAAACTCGGGCATGAGTCGGTGTCAATCCCTCCCTTGACTAGGTAGATGATATTGAGCGTACCAGTTATGCGAGAAGACTGGTGCGACAGCTGGTCAGCTAGCTGGCACATTTGAGGTCACAATGGGTCCCCTTTCCACAAGAGATGAAGAGATCCAGGAGACGCAATAGAGATGTAAGACTACGTTACCCCCCGAAAAATAGTGTCAACATGCAGTGCATTACTTTCTTGGCCATAAGATCCAGAGGTCATAACATCTGCTGTAACTAGGAACACTCTGTCCGGTCTCATGGAGTCCAGCGAGTCGCGATTAGTAAACACGGCTCATTTCGCGCGAGCACATACGTAGTCTGTAGCGCAACAATTGCAAGGGTGCAGCTGAGTTGAGTCCTTGATTCTAATTGACTCGTCTTCACCCCCGACTGAGGACCGCTCGCCAATCGTTATTGCTAAAGTTCGAGAGTATTGCGTACTTTGCAGGAAAGCAGCACTATTCTTAGGTATTTAGGAGAGCAGGTTGTAAAGATGCGAATCACACTCGACACATAGAAGCGAGAACAAGTTGAATTTGAATGTATCCTCGGCCGCCTACCCCCACTACCCCACTACCCCACGGACCGACATTGATTTTTACACAAGTCGCCCACCACTCAGCCCCTATCCTTGTGCACGAAAAAAAAAAAACCCCCCCCACCGAAAAGAAAAAATAAGAAAAGAAAAAATAAGAAAAAGAAAATGAAGGATGTTGATCTGGTCCCAGTGAGGGTTGAACTCACGACTTTCGCATTTACCAACGTTATAAACGCCTTATAATATTAGTACGACACTCTAACCAACTGAGTTATAGGACCGATGGAGGCTGTGGGAAATTATCTCGACTTAAGTCCCATGGCGGTTTGGGATGGTGGAGTGTTTGTGTAGCTAGCGCGCAGGTGGGTGCCCTTGAGTCGTCTAAGTCCCATCCGTGGCCGAGCTCTAGCTTTCTTTCTCTTAGCTGGAAATTGCGTAAGGGGCTATCTTCAATGATTTGAGCGACTGGTAAGTTAGAAATGTTGTATAAAAGATACCTCTACAAGGCTAGGAGCGTCCTTATACAGTAAGGTTGAATTATGAGAATCTAGGAAACGGGAGAATTGAATTACGAGAGATCTGGTGTTAAAAACTGGAATTTGTTTACGATCCCTTAAACAACACACCGTTAGCATGCGACTTCTTGCGTTTTTTTCTGTCTACTTCATATAGTTATTCCTATTGCGTGTCTTACTATAGTTCCTCTTTTCACTAATTGCGGTCTTGAGTATCTAATGCTATGTAGACATATGACATATCGACTAGTCCCGTACGCGTATCATTGTGACGGAGTCCTATTTCATATTCTGCTGCTAGCATCCCGCTTGACACAGCCCCAACCGCGCTGTTTCTTCCCGCCCACATTCATTCCAGCGGACGAGAACCGCCGATAATCCCACTTTCGATGGCCAATATAGCTGCAGCGGCGTTGTGCGTCACCGGCTTGTTCCAAAGAGCACAGAAACCCTGTGGCTACGGAGACCAGGTTCCCAGCTCTTCCTTTACGGGGCTCCAGGTGCTTCATGAACCGCAGAACCCAACGGCATGTCTTGTAGAGTAAGTAAAATGCGCCCCCATTCGCTTCAAACCGTGTTTTGTGGCGAACGAGACATAAGAGAGGTGCCCGTAATCAGACATAATAACGAGCCGACAAGCTAACTATTCTTTGAGCATCATCTATATCCCCGATATCGTGGCAGACCGAAGCGAGGCATGGAACTTAACAGTTCCCGAGTTTTCGTGGCTCAGAGCACTCCTACCGACTGAAGTCCCAGCCGCCCGCATCCTTGCGTTTGGATACAACCCCACTGTAGGGAGCATGTCAGAAATAATCTCTATGGGCAGCGTAAGACGGTACGCTTTGAGTTTATTAGAAGCAGTGGCCCAATTGCGGGAACAGGACGCAAATAGGTCCAAGAACGTGGTATGTACTGACTCTGGATAGCGTCGGTGCTGCGTTACTAACTCCGGTAGGACAACCGGCCTATTTTATATGTTGCGCACGGGTTGGGTGGCATTGTGTGTGAGCAAGAAAGTTTCCCCTGTATACCTGAGATTATCATCCTATGACTAAGTTGAGATTGGCTTCAGGCTCTCGTCATTACAAGCACAGAGGAGCGTTTGCGAAGGCTCCCGACTTTGACTTATGGGATCATTCTCCTGGGTGTTCCTCACTTTCGCGCTGGGTACGCTCAATGGGCTGTGATGATTTCTACATTACTTGGGTTACCTACGAAAGGCATCAAGCGGCAAGACTGGTCCCCCTTCTCACAGGATTTTGATGATCTGGCAGAGATGCAGACCAAATTTTGCAATATGATTGAACGCCGAGGTGGAGAAAATGATGCTTGGATAAAGAGAGTCATCTGCTTCTATGAGGAACTTGCTATCCCAATACACAAACTGGTTTGCCGGCCTGTTTTCTAAGCCTAATGAGTAGATTAATTGACCCGTATTTAGATTCTTTCGCCTGAATGGTCGGTTATACCCGGAGTCCCGTCAGGCGCCATCGCCAAGGACCATTTCAGCATGGCGAAATTCAAAACTGCAGATGAATTCGGCTTTCAAAGAATTGCACGGGAGCTTTCTTGGTGGCTGACGAAGCTGGGCACTCCTCTCATTCCATGAGCGTAATAGCTCCTACGACCGGTAATAATTCATTATTCCATTTCACGTTTGCGAAGTTGTGGATTATTGTATATACCATTGAAACGAGAATCAAGCTTCACTTATTCTATCATGGAACCCTCTCGGTAAATTTGGTTGATCCGGAAGACTTGGTCTCGTCACGCACCTGCTGCATCATCTCACACTTCCAACACAAAAGGCGTTGGGCAGTCGACTGTGCAGGTTCTTGTGTTTGAGGATGTGTTGCAGCGTTGGAGGGCTCGAGGCTAAAGAACTCGTCGCTTCCGCTGTCGCTGTTATTGCCAGCTGTCCCGTCGGACGTCTCAAGGTCGCATATATCAACTAAAAACTGTTCCCACCATGCCTCATCAACGGAGTATAAACAGAAGACTTCGCGGCTACACACTACACACTCCGTCTTTGGCATCAAATGTGGAACAAATGGATGGTTGAACAAAGTAAGGAGGGTGCGACTTGTCCATCCCCGTTTGCGCAATGGCCCCAATTGGAGTTCCTTGAAAACAAATTCTTCGATGTCGATCCCAAGGTCAGTTATGAAACGGCGCCATTGATCGAAGAATAGAGAGCGCCTCATTGTTAGCGAAGTTGGTGTTTCAAAGATGGGCCGGCCAAGAGTGTCAGCTCCGTATTCTACTGTTCTCCCAATAGAATGAAGTTCACTGCCGTGTTCCACAAGAACGCGGAAGGAACTTAAGATGGTGAGTGGAAAATTCTCGGCGATTTTGCAATGCAACAGCGAGAAGCCCAGGGGTGTAACTCGTACATTCGCAGCTTCTGGCCTAAGCTTGAGCAAACGTGAGAGAAGGTGTGGATCTTCGAGGCAGAACAGCGTCAACCAGAAAAGATTCTCTGGGGGGCAACTTTGTCGAATTTCATCTTGAAAGATGTCAATAATCCACGTGGCGGCCCGGGAGTCATCAGTGAACCCGGATGACGGTCTAGACCTTTCCAATAGCACTAAAATCAGCTTCCAAGCCTGACTATTATTTGCCGAAAAGTCCAAGTCTGTTGACTTCATGAGCAGCTTCAATGTACGTGTCCTGTGTTCATATGGGACAATCTTATCACGCTGCAGAGTGGCAGCTGCGACAAGGGGGGAACTAAACAAGCACATTTATAAGTACTGGAGCCTCGGCAGAGGCGGAGGTTGAATTGCTCACCAGATCTCGTAGTTACCCAGAGGAAAGTCATATGTTAGAGCTTCGTGGTCTGCCCCTGAATTAACCAACAACTGGCACATGCTCATATCGCATTCATATGCTGCAAACTATAGAATTCATTAGGGACGAGGGACCCAGGGAGAACTGAAATGGGAAGGCGATATTCTTACATGTAAAGGTGTCCAGCCGAGGCTGTTAGTGTCCATTGGGGAGGCATGGCCTGAAGCAAGCAAAGTCCTCACGGCATCAATATTTGCCGTCCGACACAACTCGAATATTGGCGAATTGTCTGGTACAGCCCGGAATGTACGGAGCGTGTTTTTCCACCCTCGAACTGAGTTGGATAGAAGAACATCAACACCAGAAGTTATCAAGCTCCAGTTCATGAGCCATTGAGCTGGGTGGTACCGGAGAGATGTCTGATACTCGTCGAAGCCTTCCAACATGGAGCTCAATGAGTCGATCCGTGACGAAGCTTGCACGACCCGTGATTTCCGAAAATGAACTTGAAAGACGCCGATTGGAGTCCTCGCTACCGACATTTGCGTTCCAGTGACCACTCTCCTCTGATCGGTGTCCCCTTCTCTCCCACTTTCCAGATCCGCCGGCTGTACTGGGGGTAAAACGGGTTCTGGATTGCTCTTAATTTGCAAAGGTGGGGTGATCAATCTGGACTGAGCATGGTCGTTTAAAGGTAAGAATTTTGCAAGCTTTTCTAGAGCGCTATTGAAACCAGCCTCATAAGCCGATCGGTAAATAGGGTTGGACATGGTGCGTGTTATCTGCCGAATCTCTGTCTGTAAATCTTCAATATGATCCTTGACTTCAGAATTAGATTCGACTGTTGTAGTGACCGTTCTGGATTGTGTTTCGAGTTTGAGATCTGAAAAGCCATTGGCGATAGCGCTCATCATTTGTTCCTGAAAAGAATATTGCAACCTCCTATTAACATCTTAGCAAATGCTAAACCTGGTCGGAATTTAGATGTTTACTCAGCTAAGTCTTGACGGATAAGGAATAATGTTGTTTTGGTCTCACCGACAGACAACCTGAAGCTATTGATCTTGTCGCCTTGGAAGGCTGCTTTGAAAGATTTCCATGTTCGAATTGATCGACTACTGGCAAGGTACGCCGGTTTCAAATTATTCATAAAATTAATAAAGCTCTGGACTTTTAAGTCACAACTCTTCAGAGCATCCACCAATAACGGATCAATAACCCGCAGATTGCTCGTCGTCTGGATCCGCTCGAGCACAGCAGCCAACAGTCGCAGCTCATAGAGCATCTCCTGGATGAAGTCGGGAGCACCACGCATCGATTCCCAGAAGTCGATAATATTCTTGATGCCACTGACCAACTGACCGGCCAGGGACACTACGGCAAAGGCGCTCGCCGCTGAGGACAGCCCGTCCATAGCTACCAATTACTTGATGGAACTTATGGTTTAAGAACGAGAAGGCCTCACGTATTCGGCAGTCAACCCCACACATCTTTTGGGAGGGGGGAGCTGCTCCCGATTGGGATTGTCACGTGATATCTACATGAAGGATCTTTCCTGCGAAACAGGATGTTATTTCAAAACATTAGGATTGATGATATGTGCTTAGGTTGTAGCGATTGAATGTGGTATTGATGTTGTAGAGGAGAAAAGTCTAGTATAAAGAATCTACGGTGAGGGGTAGTCTTGGCTCTTAAGCACTGTCCTTCGTACATGCCACACTGTATATTCTTATATCATTTAAATTTGCATTTTGTTGCTTTAATTATGCGGTGTATGCTGTTAAGATTGCTTTGATTGATCGTCTCGATCCAATTCCGTGTGCGTGAGGGTCTGGAGGGCAAACGTCGTATGAGATACTCCAATTTCGGATGCCGGAACCTCGAGTCCTGGAGGTATGGGTACCAATACTTCAACATTTGTGTGCACCATTACCGTGCTGAAACAGTAACGGCCCGCATAGATATGCGCGACA